ACTTCAGCTGCCGAACAAGGCACAGCTGCAGTTAAAAAAGCAGGAAAAGAGGGCTGTTTCAAAGGCTGCTTCTCTGAATGCAGACTGCTGATGACGATTTACAGGCGCGCAGCTCCCAGCGTGCAGGGAAGCTCGTAAATCCCAAACCGGTAGTTAACCCTGTCGTATCCCACCCCTGTTTGGATCGTGCTATAAACTGCCTATATAAAAATAATAACTGTCTAAATTAAAACAAAACAATGATATATTTCAACATAATCTTATAAAATCTACTAAGACTCAGGACTAATGAGAGACACCATAAAAGCTTTACCAGGCATTGGGGAGTTCTGGATTATACACATACCTGTTTTAGGCACTGGTAATACACTACAATTGTTCTTTTTATATAAAATGTAAAGTAAATTCTCTTGTTTAAAGAATTTCCAGTATCATTTAAATTTTACCTCAATTTTCCCTAAGCTGAAGCTCTTCAGGAGAAGCATATTCTGCATTCACGTATAATATTGTCTGTACAATCATAATTGTTCAGACAAAACACTGTGGAAGAAAATGTCATAAATAAAATCTACAATTGTTGATGCTTTAACTGAGTTTGAATTATACATTGAATTATATATTTTTGTAATATAATTAATCATTGCAAGCAACTTTGTATTTATAATGAAAACCTAATTAAACAGGAAATGCTTTACACTTCATTTTGTGGCAATTTTACTTTATTTTTCTACAACTAAGCATATAAAAACCCTAATATCAGAGTTTTCTACTAGCATTCTTTTGGAAAGGAAATAGTTGTAGGTACTTATGTATGTATATATATAAAACACAAATATGTATGTATGTATGTATGTATATGTATATGTATATGTATATGTATATGTATATGTATATGTATATGTATATGTATATGTATATGTATATGCTTTTTATTTTAAAAACCTATTAATAGAACAAAGCATGATCCTAATAGAATTTTTTTCTTGGTACACTCCAGCCATTGGATTTGCTATTTGATACCAACCACTCATATAAGAGCTCCTCTCTCTGGATGTCAAATAAATAACTTGGGAGAAGAACTGTGACTTCATTAGGGTTTTCCTTTGAAACCATGGTTTTCACGGATGTTTAACATGGTACAACTTGACTCATCTTGGGTTATATATTTTTAATTAGTCATAAAGATTGTTTGTGGTATTTAATAAGTCTGTACTCATGTCCAAAACAATTTGGAAGAACTTGTATAAGTGTAGTACCTATTATCCGTTAAAGCAGCACAACTTTTTAGAAGGTTTAAGAGTCATATTAACTTTTTTTAAGTTTGTGTGAAAGTCTGAAAGAATGAGTTTGTTTAATAGGTATTCCACTCACAAGATAGGCAAAGCATTTTCCCAAATCATTTTTGAAATCCTGTCTGTGTTCTATTCTTATGCTGCATACTTTTACTATAATTTATTTATTCATTGTTCTACTAGAAAATGGGGGTGCATATAAAAGGGATGACAATGTTAGCTAAATTTTGTATAAAAACCAGCAGTATTGTGATGCTAAACATATTGGATTTCCATTTTGAACAGATTGTATTCAAAAATCTGGCCAGTCGACCTTACAGCATTTATGTGCATGGAGTTTCTGTTTCAAAAGATGCAGAAGGAGCTATTTATCCTTCAGATCCCAAAGGTTGGTTAGGAATTATTTCTACCTTCCCTCTCTGCTGTCTTCTGATTACTTGTGTGGCTTCCCAATAGGCTCAGCAAAAGTCTGGTCTTGCTGTTGTCTCCCTTTTAAATAATAAAAAGAAAATGGAAATCTATTTTAAGAGTTTTTCAATTAATTATAAACAATGTACTAAGAATCAGAAAGAGAAGTGGGATCATTCTGGTGAGCAGCCCCTTAAAGCTCAAAGCAGGAATCCTTGTTCAACTCTCTCTGGCAGACAGCTGCCTACCCTCCACATGAATACATCCAATGAAGGAACTTACCATCTGTTTTGTAGCTGGTTCTAATTTTGAACTGCTTTTACTGGCATTTTGTTGGAATGGAATGAGAATTGAGCCTCCAGGTGTCCTTACTAACTAGACCAGACAGGAGACATGACCAGATGAACTAATTCTACTTTATTGTGAAACTATATTAACAGAATCTTGAAAGTATGAAAATACAATTCCCTCCCCATCTCTTTTATAGCCCAAGAAACTAGGAAGTCTTCTGAACCTTTTGCCCCACCGTCCACTTTATGCTATGCTGTTTCTTATTTAACTGTTCTCTAGGCAGCATCTCTGGAGCCAATCATCCAAGGTCTTTCCCATATTCCATTAAATCAATAGACAATGCAGCTCATTGGTTGACTTTTTACTAAACAGGGTTCGAACACTACTATGCTAAGCCATGGTTCCCTTAGTAATATTTTGCTAAAATCTAATTGATTGGATAAACTTGGTTTGTACATTGCAATGGATACGTTTTGTCATCAAAACAAACTAGTTTAGAATGAAATATAAACCAAACTCCTACCTGTACTCAACCTACTTTCATAATTTTTTCATTGTGAAAATAAAATGAGGGGTGATCCCTTGTGCATAATATAAATGTTAAAAAAGAAATAACATCCATAAAAATAGGTATAGAAAACAAAATGATTAAGTAACTAAGTTGTTATGTAATAATCCAATGGAAGACAATGTAATAACAAGATCCAAATTGTTTCATTCTTTGGTCTGCATAGAGTTTTACTTTACTTGCTTATGGTAAAGAACTATAATTCTCCATGTGCTGTCAAACTACAACTGAGAACATGCTTCACTACTGACCATTCAGTCTGTAGTTTCTCTATAGAAAATTGAGCAGCAACTAGAGATTTTCAGTTCCTTACCCATGCTTTACATGATCTTTTTTGCCATTATATTTTAGAGAATATAACTCATGGCAAAGCAGTTGAACCAGGACAGGTCTACACATATAAATGGACTGTGCTGGATACAGATGAACCTACCGTAAAGGATTCTCAGTGCATTACTAAATTATATCATAGTGCTGTGGACATGACAAGAGATATTGCTTCAGGACTTATTGGGCCACTTCTGGTTTGTAAACGCAAGGCACTCAACAGCAAGGGGGTACAGGTATTGTCAACTGTTTCAATTGAGGGAACAAAATGATGACACATTGACACAACTTACTTAGATTCAGGGGCAGTATGGCTCTACCATTACCATTTACTGGGGAACTCCGGGGTTTGAGATTGCTTCTGTCTTCCTTTTCAATATGGCTTTCAATATGAATTGTCAAGCTCCCCAGACCATGATTTTATAGTAATGTAATAATTTTAAAAGGTAAAGATAAGAGACGGCAAGTGTAATGAGGTATTCCTCTCCCTCACCAAAGCCTGGGTAAAGATCTAGGTCTTTATGGCCCTTCTAAACAACAGCAGAATAAGGGCCACCTGGATCTTAGGGGGAACCTAATTCCAGGGGGCAGGCACTACTACATAGAAGGTGTGTTTTCAAGGTCCTGATAAAATATATTGTTTAATTGTAATTGAAGAACTTTTACCACCAATAAATAATTGCTAATACAGACTTTTACATTATTGGTCATGCTCCGAATCTTCCTCCAACAGCACTACAGGAGTCTATTCTAGTGCTTCATTTCCTAGAGCTTCTTATTAAACCAAGGTGCACCCCAAGATCAGCACACCCAGAGGAGGCCACATAGGCATGATATGATTCAAGGCTCTAGCTGAGGCCTACATGATACTCACAAAAAGCCCCAAACTTTCTCTGAAACCCCACTGGATCTATAAATCCTGATTGGGTGGGTTGATTGACTGGGTCTTGACTCCTTGCAACTAGGGAGTATGGGTCTTGACTCCTTGCAACTAGGGAGTAATCTATCATGGCAATGGACAGGTGTTGACGTCCTCCATTGCCAGATCAATCTTAACGGTTGACATAGAACCAATGAATTCCTGACCTGCCCTTGTTTCAGTGTCCCTAGATGGCATATTGAAGTGACCATGCACCAACAGCCTTGAGAACCCTATGTTCTGACCCAACCGGGTTCCCAAAGAGCAAACACAGACAAAGGCAGCAGCCCCCACCTTTTAAGGTTTAATAATGAATTCTGTTCTGAAGGCTGCTTTCCACTAATTAGCTCTGACAAGAAAGAGCCTTGCCAAGTTGTTTGTCAAGGCTGCCAAAAACCCAGAGATAAGAACTAATTTACAAAATTCTCCAAACACGAACTAAGATGTCCACAAGTTGAGTTTAAGAACTTCTTTGCTGTCTGCAAAGAACGCTTTTGCAAACCTGGCTTTTATCCTTTTGACGGAGGGCCCTTTACCTTGCAGCCTTACTCCCGAGTTGCCTGTGCTGCTGTAATTGTTCTTTCCTCCGAGTAATCCTTCGTGCACATGCCCTTGGCACAGGCTCCTCAGGAACCTCCTCATCACTGCTGCCAGCCCCCACAATCTCTGAAGGCAGCAGTTCACTCCCTGATAGTCCTGGCCCCTCATCAGAGTCATCACTCTCCTCAGCCATCTGCACCTGCTTCTGGCTAACCACAACACCCTACTGCCAACCTAGCAATGGAATCTAGTAGCTGATTCAGGAATGCTGTGAGCAACAGGGAAAGCTGTACCCCAACAGCACTCCCAAGTGTACACTTAAACCCAAATCAGCTTTCATATAATCTGTTACTTCAAATGCAATCTGAACAGTCTGCCTTGGACAAAGAAAGCCTTGCTTATAATATGGATATACAAAGACATCGATAATAATACTCAGGCTATCTCTGTATACAACATAATTATTTTATTTATCTGTTTCCAAATAATCCCCTTTTGTTGCTCATTCCAGCTTTATTTCATTTGAATGTTATACATTATATTGTTATGCTGTTGTTTTTAAAAACAAGGAAGTGCATGTCAAATGGCATATCATTCTATCAGTTGAACTAGATCTATTTTCTACTATCACTGTGCAGGATAAAGCTGATGTGGAACAGCATGCAGTCTTCGCAGTGTTTGATGAAAACAAGAGCTGGTACTTGGAAGACAATATCAAGAAATACTGTAGCAATTCTTCCACTGTTAAGAAAGATGACCCTAAATTTTACAAGTCCAATGTTATGTACAGTGAGTAGTAACCTAGGTCACTATTTTGTTTTGTGTTTACTCAACATCATTAAGATTAAATGAATATTAAAAATAAAAATGGAAAATATGCTATTTTTGCAATATTAATTTTATGTCTTTGATTCTAAAGACATTTAACTTGGAATAGCTTCTGTTTAACTATTGAGATTCATTGTTCGAGTAGCTATTCTTAAGGTTGCACTCCTAATTGCATTTTGAATTTTATTTTAGCACTCAATGGCTATGCATCAGATAGAACAGATGTTTTGGGGTTTCGTCAGTCTGAAATTGTTGAATGGCACCTCACCAGCGTAGGTACAGTGGATGAGATTGTTCCAGTACATCTTTCTGGTCACACCTTCTTATCCAAGGGAAAACATCAAGATATTTTAAATCTTTTCCCCATGAGTGGTGAATCAGCTACTGTAACAATGGACAATCTAGGTAAACAACAATAGTTCTGTGCTTGATTTTTTATTTCAGACTGTATAGATAGTTCTATAATTGAGCTCTCAGAATTGCTTGTCACATTATTAAAAACTTTATAAAATTCATTGTACAGAAAAGCACAAATTCTATCAAATAGCCTAAAAAAACCATAGAGAATTATTATTCCCATTTTATGGGAGCTTGAAAAATATCTATTGACAATAACATTTAGTCTAATAATTGGAAGAAAAAGCATTTTAAAAACCACAAGTATAACATTTCCAAAGTGCTGAAGGACTTGAGTTTATATGTTTCAAGCCTTCTCCTAACTCTAAGGAGAAAGGAGACAAGGGGGCGACCTCAGAATACCTGATCTATTATGGAGAAAATAGAATTAGTTATTTATATTAAATGTTTGTGGCACTCAAGATGATCAATTGAGATGCAGTAGATAATATGGTAATTTGGGCCTGAGCTTTGTATATAGAATTAAACCTGAAAAACAGTCAGTAGCCAGTGCAAGTGATTCAACATGGTGCTTTGTGTCACTTATCTCCTGTATTGTTGAATTCCAGGCCAGTGGAGTTTCCAGACCACCCCCTAAATAATTTATTTCATAATCCAACTTTGTGGTTATCAGTTCATGTATTAATGATGCCAAATCATTCTCCATGAATGACATGCCTGGCTTATCAACTGAACCATACAACTTAATACCATATGTGTGCTCTGGTTTTACAATATCACTATTCATTCAGGAGTAATGTCCAAGCTGTGAATATGAACCTTAAGATTCAGATTCTGAATCTGTCCAGATCACATATGACAGCAAAGTTCCAAAGACCGGCTCCTGGAATCAACGATCACTTCGTGTTCAATTTTAATTTTAAGTTGCTTTTTAGTAAGTCCTTTATGGCCAGGAGATGCATAGTTCTGAAGACATCCAAGTTTGAGCTTCAAGAAAAGAGAAGGGTAGCTAGGTTATTCTACATAATAATAAGTAGTTCCATACAGATATAATGTCTAAGTATAGAGTTTATATCTTTCCTCAAAATAAAACAGTAGCAAAGCTTAAAAGGAAAAGAAAAATCAGAGCTAGAAGCAGTTCTGAATCCCTATCTTGTGCATTACTGTCTTAAAGGTGGTCATGGGTATCATATGTTTGTGATTGTTGTTGTGTTTATAGCTCTATTTTTTGTATCTGTTATATTACCATGGCATATTAGAAAGCCCTTCCTATCCTAGTATTCTCTAGTAATTCTGGACTTCTCTCACAATTCCTAGTCAATTTGGCTTCACCATACTAATTTAGTCTATACTAACATTGTTAATGGATTGCAGAACTAACATCAGTAATCAGGTATAAGCAAACAAGTGGTCTATCTAATATGAATTATTTTCCATTTGTAGGAACCTGGCTTCTGTCATCATGGGGCTCCCGTGAGATGAGCAATGGCATGAGATTGAGATTTTTGGATGCCAAACATGATGATGAAGACGAGGGAAATGAAAAAGAGGAAGAACATTATGGTGGTATTGTTGCCAACATTATCAGTGGCGGTCCTTCAGAAGTAGTAAAAAAGAAAGAAAAGGACCCCAGAAATGTAGTATCAGACTCAGAAATGGATAAGATAGCAAAAGAATTAGGATTATTAGATGATGAGGATAATCAAAAAGAGTCAAGCAATGAACAGACAGAGGATGATGAAGAACAGCTAATGATAGCTTCAATGCTTGGGCTTCGATCATTTAATGGGTCAGTTGCTGAAGAAGAATTGAATCTCACAGCTCTAGCTTTAGAAGAAGATGCCCATACTTCTGGTGAGCTATCTTTAAACACTCATCTAGTGTTGATAAACAGCACTGATGCTATGCGTGGTAATGAAGAATTGGGAACTCAGAATAACTCTTATGTAAATGCATCTGAGACAATCTATGCTAATTATACATCTTCGACAGGAGAAATTTTAATTTCAAATATCACTGCAATGATTGGCATCTTGCTATCTAAGAAAAGCCAAAATGAAGAGAATATTACTCAGATTTCAGATAGCTACAAGCAAATGCTTGCTGCTGAATATTTAAAAGCAGGCAGAGGTCTTCAGAGCAAAGATATAGAAGATTTAATGTCCCCTGAAATAATCCCTTCCCTGAAAGAGCAAGAAGAAAATACATTTGAAAAAGATATTTGGGATAAACAGGGAGAAAGACAAATTCTGACAGAAGCAACTTTGCATGCTCTTAAAGAGATGCATGCTCTATTTTTTTATGTACAACAAAAGAGAAATCTTTCTGCTTTCAACATCACAAGTGAGGACATGAAATTTCTTTCTAGTACAGAAAATGACTCTACCACAGATAACTCAAAAGCCAATTACTTTTCATATGATTATGATTATGATTATAAAGAAGAAGAAGCAACAGCAGCAGCAAATGTTGAGTTTTCCAAAGTTATAACAAATACAATTTCAGATGATAAAAAAACAGTGGAAAACAATGGATCTGAGGTAAACCTTGTTTCTGTACCTTCTATAATGCCACAACCTGAAAATTTGACTTCAGATGCCACATTAGATAATTTTGTTTCTTCAACAATTTTGAAGACTACGAAGACTTGGAACAGTTCATCTCACCAGAGACAGAAATGCCTTCCTAAAAACACAGACATGGAATGGAAGAAAGAAAATTACGATACATTAGCAGATATCGCTAACGATGTTGACAATAAATTCCAGAACAGCAGCAGAAATGCCTCATTTTATCAAGAAAATGCCATGTTCCCTGGAAAAAGAAAAGAGAAAACAGATAACTCTAATGGTCAACTTGAGTTGGGCCAACCAGGAATTACTAACAAACATGATTCCCAGAAAGATGAGAACTGCACTATCAATATATCTCAATCTTTTATAAAAATCCAACGAAAGAAAAAAAAGCCAAAAGTTTTAACTCCAAGGGCTTCCAAGCATCTAGAGTTACCTAGAAATCTCAATCATTCCCAACTTTCTAATAAACCCAACCACACAAAATTGTTAAATGAGGCCAAATTGACACGAAAACAGGACAAGCTTGTTACAATAGGTCTTCCAGTGGAAGATGGTGACTATCAGGAATATGAGATAGATAATACAGACAATGATAAGAGTAGCAGCGGTTCATTTGAGTACGAGTTAATGTATTATGATAATCCATATACCACAGATCCTCGAATTGACAGTAATAGTGCACGTAATCCTGACGACATAGCTAGACACTACCTGCGTACTACCAACAGCGGAAATAAAAGGATGTACTACATTGCAGCAGAAGAAGTTTTGTGGGACTACTCACCAATCAGAAAAAGGTTTGACTGAATTATTTATTTTTAATTATTGCTCAGTTTCATATTGCTGGTTTAACAATAACATCAGAGGTGGTATTCAGCAGGTTCTGATCAGTTCTGGAGAACTGGTAGCAGAAATTTTGAGTAGCTCAGAGAACCGGCAAATACCACTTCTGACTGGAGATTTTACAATATCCTTCCCCTGTCACGCCCACCAGGCTACACCTACAGAACTGGTAGTAAAAAAATTTGAATCCCACCACTGAATAACAAGCTAAGACGTTAAAAGAATCTATTAGCCATGAACAAGTGTAATTTTTTATAATGAAATGCTATTAAAACTTGAGCCAGATATGAAGAACTGGACTGTTCAGATGTTATCACAGAAAGACAACAAATTTAGAATTATGGAATCCAATCTGGATTGATGATTTCCAAGTTCCTTTTCTATCCCATGCCAAAAGCCTTTCCAAAATCTTACGTTTATAATGTCATCTAAATTCAGCACAACCTCATTTTAATTTATTTTAAAAAAATGTATTTGAGGTTTATTGTAGATTGAAAATTCTATTTTCTATAATCTCAAAATAGTTTTACCTAACTATTTAAAATTGCTATTATGGTAGTGCATATATTTTAGCTGAAGTTTTTGGATAGTGTGTTATGAAAATATACTCTTTTTTAGTATTTGTGTTTTTGGTATTGCTTTTTTGGAATTTTGAATACATCATGGTTTAGTTAGAAATTATCTGTTCAGCAGTCAAACACAAATGGCATGGGAACACACTAGAGCTAAATCTGAAGAAGCCCCAAACCCCAATATGTAAGAACCACAACAGTGTTTTATGAATCCAGGCACCACAATTTATAAACTATTGTTGTATGATCCCAGCCAAAAGCTTTTTTCGAAAATAGAAGAATCAGAACTGTAAAGCAGGAAAAGAATTGAAAAAGACAAATATATTTATAGTGAAGAAAACATTAAGAAAAAAAGGTATATTCTTAGAATTGTTAAAGAAAACAAGAAATTGCAAAGAGGCAACCACAAGCATTATTATATCCAATTTCCCTGGTGGACTTGTGCTCATACCCAAGTACAGACACAAGCTACATCAAAGACTGGGGGAAAAGCATTATATAATAGCAGGATGGCAGTGTCTGCACATGGCAAAGTCAGTAATGGAATGGAATTAACAAATGACCAGGCTCAAATTATTTATTTATTTTATTTATTTATTTGATTTGTCAATCGCTTACAAGATAATAGGTATAAGTATATACATACCGTATTTGCCGGCGTATAAGATGACTTTTTTGCCCTGAAAAACATGCCTCCAAGTGGGGGGGTCGTCTTATACGGCGAGTATATAACAAAGGTCGTCTTATACGCCGGCAAATACGTTGTTGTCACTCGGTGCAAGAGCGACGGGGGTGGAGCTCCGCAACTTGCGAAGCCCCTTCAAGCCCAGCCGGAGTCTCTCTTCCTCCTCCTCCCCCACCCACCCACCCACCCACTCCGCTCGTGCGAGCGGACAGGCAGGCTCCAGGCTTTGCCCCCATCCCTCACCTCCTTCCATCCCCCTCCACCCCCCCCACCCAGTGGCAGAAACTTCGCCGCACGTGGGGACGAGTGGAGGGGGTGGGAGAGCAGCGACGCAGCTCAATGCTGAGAAAGCGCCATCCTTGCTTTTGTGCTTCGGGAAGAGTTCGTGTTTTTTGTTTTTTTGTTTTTCTCCCAGGAATGGGATGCTGCTCGTGCGATTTTCTTTGGGAATTTTTCTCTTCCCGGTTTCAGCCTTTGCTCCGAATCCTCCCCCCCCCCATTCACTTCTGGAAAGGATGCTTGTGTAACTCTTTTCCTAAGTGTTGCTGGGGTGGAGGGGGGGCAGTGTGCAGCGTGAGCGAGAGGCTCTTTTCCTTTCTCCCTGAGCGCAAAACCGTCTGCCTTCTTCTCTCTTGGACGGACCGAGCAAGGCTAATAAGATAATAATAAGATAATAAGATAAGATCCTAAGCGCGTTGTGGAAACAGATCTGGATCTCATTGGAGAAAGGTAGCAAATGAATGAACTGGACTTTTGGCAAGTCTCGGGGTAGGAACTCGACGCTTTCTGGAAAGTTAGTGAGCAGGAAAATAGACATCCTTTCCGCTTTCTCCCAGCGTGGGTATTTCATTATCCCTCCCTGTAAGAAGTAACAACCACAAAGCCAAGGGAAAAAACGATGCGCAGGAAAAAGCCACAGTAGGAAGCAAAGATTTCTCCCCCCCCCACCCTCTCTCTCTGAAATAATTAATGTCGCAATCAGTGTGGTGCACCCTTGGAGACAAATTGGTTGGGGAGGTGGAAAGATATTAAGAAACAACTCGACTGTTTTTCGTCCAGTTTTATTTTTATTTATTTATTTTCCCCTGAAAAAAGCAGATCGCTCAACGGTGTCACAAAGAAAGGGAGAGGAATTGAGTGCCAGCCTGAGAAAGGCGAAGCTGCCTCTCTAAAGCATTTTGGTGGCTTTGTAAGTTTGGGGGAAAGGGGCGGGGGTGTCAATCAAGAATTATATCCAGAATACCCCAAGTGTTACAACTTACCGTATTTGCCGGCGTATGACTTTTTTGCCCTGAAAAACATGCCTCCAAGTGGGGGGGTCGTCTTATACGGCGAGTATATAACAAACTCTATATTTTGAGTGGAAATGTTGGGGGCTCGTCTTATACGCCCAGTCGTCTTATACGCCGGCAAATACGGTAGTTATGAATACATGAAATGGGTACATATAAGAAAAATAAAAGAAACAATAGGACAGGGACGGTAGGCACTTTGGTGCGGTTATGCACGCCCCCTACAGACCTCTTAGAAAAGGGGTGAGGTCAATAGTAGACAGTCTAAGGCTAAGGTTTTTGGGGTTTGGGGAAGAAACCACAGAGTCAGCTAGAGTATTCCAGACATTGACCACTCTGTTGCTGAAGTCGTATTTCCTGCAATCAAGTTTGGTGCGGTTTACCTTGAGTTTGTATCTATTGTTTGCTCTAGTGTTGTTATGGTTGAAGCTGAAGTATTCATTGACAGGTAAGTCATTGCAATGTATGATTTTATATACCATACTTAGATCAGACCAAAGACGACGTAATTCAAGGTTTTCTAGGTCTAGAATTTCAAGTCTGGTGGCATAAGGTATTCTATAATGAGTAGAGGAGTTGAGAACTCTTCTTGTGAAATATTTCTGGACTTTCTCAACTGTGCTAATATCAGATACGTAATGTGGGTTCCAGACTGATGAGCTGTATTCGAGTATTGGTCTAGCAAATGTTTTGTATGCTCTAGTTAGTAGTGTGATATTACCAGAGAAAAAGCTACGTAGGATTAGGTTAACAACTCTTTAATGCCTTTTTGGCTATGTAGCTACAGTGGGCTCTAGCACTTAGATCATTAGAGATGAGTATTCCAAGGTCCTTTACAAAGCTTGGATTATCAACAAGGTCTTAACTATTCAGCTTGTATTTTATTTTCTGATTTTTTTTGCCAATATGTAAGACAGAATATTTATTTGTTGAAATTTGAAGTTGCCATTTGTTTGACCATTCTAATACATAGCCAATATATTTTTGAAGGGTAGCAGTATTGTCTATGGTATTGAACAGCTTTACATCATCAGCGAAGAGAACGCAGTTGCTTTTAATATGATCACAGAGGTCATTTATGTAGAGTATGAAGAGAGTTGGTCCTAGAACACTGCCTTGGGGGACACCACTATTGACAGGTATAGAATTTGATAGGACACTCCCAATTTTGACCATTTGTTGTCTGTTTGACAGGAATGCTTCTATCCAGTTATGCAGTTGTCCAGAGATACCATAAGATTTTAGTTTTAGGAGTAGTTTGTCGTGTACCACTGAATCAAAGCTTTACAGAAGTCTATGTAGATTGCGTCTATTGTTTTGCCCTGATCGAGTTGTGTAGTCCATATGTTCTTGCAGTGTAAGAGTTGCAGATTACAGGATAGTTTTTTTTTCTGAAACCAAATTGTTTATTAGAGAGTAGGTTGTTTGTCTCTAAGTGGAGGATAATGGATTGGTTAATAATTGATTCCATGACTTTACAGGTGATGCAGCATAAGGAGATTGGTCTGTAATTTTCAACTAGGCTGGAGTCTCCCTTTTTGAAAATGGGGATGACCGTGGGTTGTGACCATAGTTTTGGCAAGGAGCTGGTCCTGAAAGTTTTTTCAAAGAGAGGTTCGGCTATGGCAGTGGATAGCTTTTTTAAGAAGTAGGCACATATTCCATCTGGTCCAATAGATAGAGATGGTTTTAGATTGTGTAGTGCTTTTTCAACATTGTCATCTGTAAAATCGATATGTATTAGATCATTGTAGTTGTCTGTGGTTTGACTAGGAAATACTGGGCATGATCCATTGCTGTTTACAAATACTGAGCCAAATAATGTGTTAAAGAGGTTGGCTTTAATGGTGTCGTCGTTGCAGTCTTTACCATTAGGTCCTATCAGGGGTGGGATGGACCTTGAGTCTTTTAGTTTGTTGTTCACAAAATTGTAAAAAGTGCGGATGGAATTGGTGCGTAGAAGGTTTTCCTCTTGTTTAATGTGATAATTGGTGCATTCAGTCTTTATCTGATGGCATAAATTTTTGTATCGGCTTTTGAAGTTGGCCACGTGACCAGATTTATTTTTCTGCCAGAGTGATCTCTTTTTGGATTGAAGTTTCCTTATTGTTATGGGTAATCTGTTTTTGTTTTGCTTTGTTTTGGGAGTTGTTGTTGGTAGATATAGTTTGATGACTCTTTTGACTTCAAGTAAAAAAATGTTGTAATGGTCTTCAACAGTATTGCATCCAGTGAATAGAAGTTGCCAATCAAGGGATGAGAGATCATTCTCTATAAGATCATAGTTGCCTTTTTTAAAGTTATAATTGGGGATTACGTCATTGTGAGGTTTTTTGTGTGGGCGTATGTTGAGACAAAAGTCAATCATATTGTGGTCATTGTTGGAAAAGGGTTCTTTAGTTTGTATTCCGTAAATTAAATTCAAACTATTGCAGAAGATGAGATCGAGGCAGTTGTTTAGTTGGTTACTAGTTGTTCCAGTCCCAGATTTGTGACAGAATTGTAGAAGGTTGCGTGTATGGGTTCAGTTGTACATTCGTTTAGAGTCCAGTCAATATGAGGTAGATTGAAGTCACCAAGAAAGATAAAAGCGTGTGGGCAGGATGTTGCCCATGTTAGTAGTGAATTTAGCTTGTGTACATGTTCGATGTCATAATCAGGTGCTCTGTAACATAGTAAGAATCAAAATGTGATATTTAAGGATAGTTCACAGATGATGGTCTCAGGAAGAGCAAGCTCCTGGGTAACTTGGATGTTTTTTAGATGTAAGGACTTTTTATAGAAGATAGCAACACCACCTCCTCTATGGATTTCATGATCTGATCGGTAAACATGATAGTCTCTTACTGTGGTAATGGAGTCAGGGAGAGATGCATTGAGCCATGTTTCACAGACAAATATGATGTCGAATTTAGCCATATTTAGTAAGAGGAGAAATTCAGGTATTTTATTCACAAGGCTTCTTGCATTGAGTAGCTTGCATTTAAGGCCAGCAGTAGTTGGAATTGAGGTAATTAGGGGCGTGCGTGCCTAGTCTTGGGTGATGGTGGATTGGTTGAGGTAGGGTTGTGGTTGAAGGTTAAAGCTGAGTTGCAGATTGTGTGACTTACTTTTGATACAGTCAGCATGGTAGTCAATGCACAGGTCCTTCTCTCCATTGTCTAGACGTTTTTGAGTTCAGTGCGGAGTACATGGGAGCGGGCACGTTGCTGTATGGTTAGGTCAGGGCAAGAACGGAGGTTCTTATGGTTGGTGTTGGTCTTGGCAAGTGAATTTATAGTATAAATGAATTTACGTTTGCTTGATTCATTTTTGCAAATGACCCTGCAGAAGCATGGGGCCACAGAGCCGTCTCTGTTTTTGAGCTCTCGGCCAATGCGGGAAATGTCAAGCATTTCATCAGGGGAGATGGTTGATGCTTGATAATCACTGATGATGTTTCGGACAGTTGTGATGTCATCATTGTCATTGATGTCCTCTAGACCAAATAAGATGGCATTTGGACATTTCCGTTCACGCTCAACAGCTTCTCTGATGAGGATTGGGATATCGTTAGTTGTCTGATTTATGTTTTTTTAGTGGATTGGGTTGTGGATTGGGTTGTGGTAGTTGGGTAGAGATGTGGTTTGTAGCTATTGGATGTTCAGGTTTTTGCATTGTGTCTTTTTTTTCAAGGTTGGATAATCTTTCTTTTAAAGCATCGAGGGATGCTACTATGGAGTCAAGGGATGTTATTCGGGTTTCTATGGTATCAACTCTGTCAAACAGATCCAGTTTGGGTCTGCATGATTTGCAGTGATATGGAAACTCATTGGATGATTCTAGGTATTGAATCATTTGCTCGGGTAATCCCAAGCAGTCATGATGAGCGTATTTGTTACATAGAGAACATTTGATGGAATTTTCATTATCCTTTAGAGTTTTATAGCATTTAAGGCATGTGCAGGAGTCTTGTGGTTCATTGGTGGGGATTACTTTCTCTTTAGGTTGTGGTTTGGCATTGGATTTTTTTCTTGGCATGGGAGGTTTGTTAAGATGGTGCATTGATTAAATTACTTAATGAATTTTGGGTAATCAATATAGCCAATATCACACCAATCAACCAATTGCAATAATCTCTCTAGTCAAATAATTTTGCTAAGCAACGATCAGCCTAATCAATTAATTACACTAACCACTAATCAATTAATTACACTAATTATTAATCACACTGTTCAATTAAATTCACTAAATCACTAATTTTACTAATCAATTAAATTACATAAATCTTGATCTTTTAAACTAATCAGTAATCACACCATTTGCACTAAACGCTCTAATCACACTAATCAATTAAAACAATAAATCAATTAAACCATTAATAAATTATTTTATAGAAATTGATTATCTAATCATTGATATAGGTAATGAGGTAGAAAAGTTGTAAGTTTTGAGGTAATGAATTAATCAGTGTTTGATTAAAGTAATGAGATAGTATTGAGAGTCTGCAAGGAAAGGGTTAATTGTTTTACTAGCAGCTGTTATTTACTGGGTGGGAGGAATTTATTGCTCTGATGGCTGCTGTTATTACTCTGTAAACAATAGGCTGTAATAAGATGCTCAAAAGCACGCTGGATTATTGAAAGAGAGCAAAACTCGCTGAATTAAAACACTTTACAATCAATATGTCTCTGAATAAGATTGTTTTCCAATAGTTTCCTAAAGTTCTTCAAGTTGAGTAGTAGTAAAAATACAGTCCAGGAATTTGGGTAACCAATCCAATCTGTCCTTTACTTTCAAAGTTACTTCTAGCTGCAATATCTTTTTTTTTTTTTTTTACTAAATCTGACAGTCACTCCCAATCATTAATCGCAGCTAATTTCCTCCGTTGAGTCCCATTTTCCAAGAAATTGGAGTGCAGAAATTGGAGTGATTCTTACCAAGACTAAGCACGCTGTTACAAGATCTTTCCTTTCTTTTTCACTTCCGTCTCAGCTGCCTTCCTGGCTTCGATTCAACCATGCTGGCAGTTCTCTTTTTAGTTCGGATGGAGGGGTTTTCTTCAGGTCAGACGAGGAGACTCTCCTCTCCTCTCGACCACCGAAGCATTCCTACTTCAAACACATTACACAAAGACTTAGTTCTTGGGAGAAGACTCAAATGCTGGGAAAAGTGAAAAAGAAAGTAAACATGACAACATAGATGGACGCTTATATTGGTGATCGGTGCATTTTTGGAAGATCTTATGGAGAAAATCTATGTGGTAATGAAAGTCAACACCAACTCAAACACATAAATGATCATTAATCAGTCAATCAGGTGACCTCCAAACAGAAGTGCAGATCTGGTAAGAGACTATGAAACCTCCTATCAGTGAGGTAATATCAGGCCTGGAGCTTTCTGGAAGCAGAAAAATAATATTTTCTTGATGAGTGTGGAATATAACATCACACTTGCTGCCATTACCCAGAACTTGCCTTCATTTCCTTGTGCCTGAAAGAAAACTGTGCTGATCAGAGGAGAATTATGGCTTACTCACCTATCAACTCCTGTTCTTTTGCCAGAGTAATGGTTGGTTGGACTGAGAACCATGTATGAATAATAGTGAAGCAATTTCAGATTAAAAAAATAGGAGAACCTTTCAATTAGTTGTTTAATAATGAATATATTGCTTCAAGAGATAAGATTTTTGTTTTGCTTTGGAGTTATTTAAGCTGGTTAAATAACTTTAAAATTCCTGTTAAGAGTTAAATTAGGCTGGACAACTTTTTGACATGATGTCATACTGACAAGATCCTTGTAAATGGGCAAGACATTGATTTATATTACCACCACCAAAAGCACTTTGGGTCTAACTTATTAAACTGTAAGTTTAATAAGTGTTTATTAATTTCTAGCATTAAGAAAAATAAAATGCTAAATATCAATTCAATATTTTCTTGATATTAAAAATTCACTAAGAGGAACAGGGTATTGTCTCTAGCTGAGATTCATGTTTATGTTTATCAAAGAGTTAGTCTTTGTTAGTCAAGGAAGTAAAATTTGTATAGCTGCTCATCTCACAAAATGACTCTGAGTGTCATAGAAAACAACAAAAATCAATATATATAAAAATAAAAATCCACATTCAAAGATAAATATTATAAAAATAACCATACAAACCATAGGCAAAAAGAAAAAAGGAGTAGTCACTTCAACAATAGAACCATCTGAGCATGTCACTGCTGACAATGGACCTGATTGTTTTGCAATTGGCTGGATTCATACAACTTACAATAATTCATAATCTATGATTTATACATTATAATGGCTGGGTTCATATAATACATTAAGACAAACTATAATAATACTAATAATAGGTAACCAAAAATAAAAATGCCAAATCCAGACTAAACACCTGACTGATAGTATGATGAACCATAATATTAATAAGGACAAAAATGCAAAATTCAGTCTAAACATCTGGCTGACCACAACCAACTGTAATCATAATATACACCTGCCCATTCCAGATCCTAGAGAAGTATTGATAGGTGGACAAAAACACCAAGTGCTTGATATACAATATATTCAAATTTTAAAAAATTCACAGTTTTTCCCCTCTCCAAATCTTCCATATTCTTAGTCAAGTGAGAAGTCACCCAGCCAAGACCACATTCAAAAAAGCTATTTTCCGAAGTTATCTTGATGATACTTTCCAGACACCTAGCACTGGAGGAGAATATGAAAAGCATCTTGGTATACTGGGTCCTATCATTAGGGCTGAGGTGGATGATGTAATCGAAGTAAGTCTATGTTCAAAATATTTTAATAAAAGAGTAATTTGAATTTTTAACAACATTAAACACGAAAAATGTTTGAACTTTGATAAATAGAATCAATTTCAGATTTTAAAAAGCCTATTTCCAATTTTTGTGTCTTACAACTATATGTTAAGTAATTAAATTATTTATACAAAGAATGTAACAAATATTTACTATGGACAGTACTGGAATCCAAATAGTGCTCTCCACATTATTTGGAATGAACACCAACAGAAATAGGGCCAACTAAAATACTGGAAACACATCTTGAAATGTAAGAAGCTGGGGATCTTAGCTTCTTTTCTCTTTTTCGCAGACCCATTCTGTTACAGGGATTCTGAGCTTTCGTCAGAGACTGCTTTGAAGTTTGAATGAACCTGTGATCGAGCTCAGTCCCCAATTTGAGAAGCCCTAGGGAAGGAGGAGGGAAGCACTTGCTAGAGTGCAATGGACATTTTAGATGTAAAATGGAAGAACTGCCAGAACAGGCCTCTAACTCTAAGAGACCTGGAAAGTTATATCAGCAGATTTTATAAAATCTAGATGCATCCATCTAGCAAAATAGGAAATAATAAATTAGACCTCTATTAATTTATCTTATTCATATGATATTTACAACAATATTTAAATATCATTTTTTTAAATGTTTAAATATTTAAGATATTATATTCTCTCTCTCTTTCTCTTGTTCCTCCCCAGATTATGTCATAAATTTTCAATTTTTTTGTAGTTTTGCAAATCTTGCATTCCTTCATATCTCTCTCCCTCCCTTTCTCTCCCTCCCTCCTCCCTCCCTCATCTCTCTTAGCGTAGCTCTTACTGCAGAAGTTCAACACTCAGGAAATTCAATCGACTACTGTTGTGTATGGTGATACAGAAGTACAATATAATATCAGATATTTTTAGTACCATCTGAATAATACTCTGAGTCAACCTTGTACAGTTAACAACAGTAATTGGGGCTGGTTAACAACATTAATTGGGGCTGGTATATCCGTTGCTGAGTCTTGGTCATAAAATCTGAAATCATATGACCCTGACGCTTAGTGGATGCAGTTCTGGCAGTCCACGGTTGTGTCATTAAGCAAACCCTACACTGTTATTAAGAGCAAGTGCTTACCGCTTGCAACCTTGTTCCAGCCCACCCCCGACTTTGCTTGTGGGAAGCTGGCAGGTAAGGTTGCAAATGGTAATTACCTAGCCATGGGACCCTGTGATGTCATAATTGCAAGCCAGGTGCCAAATATCTGAATTATGATCATATGATTGTGGGGATGCTGCGATAGCTGCTACTACAAGGACTACCTTGTAAGACTGAATGCTGGCTGAAAGAGTGGTCCTTAAATCAGGACTGCCTCAATAGAATATTTTCGCATATAGAGAGATCCAGTGAAATTAATAACATATTGTATATGCAGCTTATGAGGTAATAGATAACAGATAATCAGAGTTGGAAGGAACCTTGTAGGTTATTTAGTCCAACCCCCCCACCCAAGCAGGAGACCCTACACCATTTCTGACAAATGGCAGTCCAATCTCTTCTTGAAAGTCTCAAGTGATGGTGCTCCCACAACTTCCGAGGGCAAGCTGTTCCATTGGTTGATTGTTCTGTCAGAATGTTTCTCCTTATTTCCAGGTTAAATCTCTCCTTGTTCAGTTTCCATCCATTATTCCTTGTCTGGCCTACAGGTGCTTTAGAAAATAGCTTGACCCCTTCCTCCCTCTGGCAGCCCCTCAAACATTGGAAGGCCACTATCATTTGAGGGGCTGCCACAGGAAAGGGTCAAGCTATTTTCTAAAGCGCCTGTAGGCCAGGTACATAAACTGTTTTGAGGCAAGGGTCACACATAGCTTTAGATGGCAGGATCCAAAGAAAAAGTTATTTTAATTTAATATACTGGTGTAGGCTTTCCCAACCAGTGTCTGTTTGACATTGTTGCGCATCAGAGTTTGTGATTGAGGTGCAGATAACAGATTTCCTGATGCTTCACCAACAACTGTGGTGAAATCTTCAAAAGCAAGGTGGTCTATTGTGTAGATCAGACAATTGAGGAGGAGCTTATTTTGGACTGGGGCAGGTTGGTAAAGGTTGGTCTCTGATTGATTTTTTATGTTTGATACTAATTGGTTACTTTGGTATTATTGGCTCTTGATTGGATCTTTGTTTATCCTGATTGGTCATTTTGAGTGTATACAGAATAAACACTCAAAAAATAATAAAAGTAAATAAAATAAAAAAGAAATGTATTTTGTATAATGATATTTGATAAAATAATTTGTTTACAGTTTCAGTCCTTTGAAACACTCTACAATCTCTGACAGAAATTCAGGCTACAAAACTGCAAACAGTTGAAATTCTTCTGTGTATAGGTTTTTTTTTTTTTTAACTCTGTATTAATCATTGACTGTTCAACTCGCTAGGTTCAGTTCAAAAATTTGGCCTCTAGACCATACTCACTTCATGCTCATGGCCTTCTCTATGATAAATCTTCTGAAGGCAGAAGCTATGACGACCAGTCTCCTGAATTGTTCAAAAAGGATGAGGCTATCATGCCAAACGGCACATACACATATGTCTGGCATGTCCCCCAACGGTCAGGACCAACAGACAATACAGAAAAATGTAAATCATGGGCCTATTACTCTGGTGTAAATCCGGTAAGATAAATGTCATAGAATATTGTTAAAAAGAAAACTTAATTATCTTTATTAAGAAAACTTAATAAAAACATTTTAATTAACCTTAAAGATTATATGCTTATCTATCTTCTAGCATATGCATTTTGCTTATTATCTTAGATTTGCAATTTCTTTCATGAAAAAGAATTATTTCTGTTTAGATCACCATTTTTTTCAGTATTGTTTGTAGGGTCATGAATTGTGGTTTTGTATTCTTTTCCCTAGATTCTGATCATTTTTTTGGTAGGTCAAATAGTTTTGAAAACTCTAATGAAGGAGAAATTTAATAGCTATATTAATAACATTTAGTAGCTATATTAATAACATTTTTCCAAACAGATAATCTCTTTTAATACATTGTTTTGAATAAACATTGATTGAATATTCATGTTTATTTCTCTTTAAGATTAAATATATGTACTTTTGTTTGTATCACCAAATAATTATTTTTCATACTGGGTTTGGGTTGATTATTTTTACCTTTAATTATATGCTATTACTAAATGTTCATTTTAGTAATATTACTAAATATTACTAGTGTTCATTTTTGTATTTCTTTTTTAACATGAAAAATTAAATCACATTGAAATATATTTTGCAGGAAAAAGATATTCACTCTGGCTTAATTGGACCTATTTTGATCTGCCAGAAAGGCATGATTGACAAGTACAACAAGACAATAGACATAAGGGAATTTGTCTTGTTTTTTATGGTCTTTGATGAGGAGAGAAGCTGGTACTTTGCAAAATCTGACAAAAGGACTCGTGCAGAGAAACTTATAGGAGTCCAATCTCGCCACACATTTCCTGGTAGAAATATTTTCATTTCTCTTATATAAGATTTCCACTTACGATAAATCATTTTCATGCTAATGGCAACATAATACTGAATGTTATCTTTATGTTTATAGCAATAGCACTTAGACTTGTATACTGCTTCATAGTGCTTTACAACACTCTCTAAGTCAGTGGTTGCTAACCAGTGGGCCAGGGATGGTGGTCCACAGAGAAATGTCCCCCCCAAAAAACACTCCCCCAAAGCAATTAATCCTGGCTGTGTTGGAACACAAGGCTGCACTGCTCACATGGCCCACCTACCCGCTGCCCCCACCCTTCGACTGAGCGCAAACCTTGAGTAGAGCTACGTGAGCTGCAACTGGAAGGTAAGACCAATGGCGGGGGAGGGAAATCCGCCCCAGGGTGGCTTGCTGACATTGGTGGGAAAGTCAGTCCCATATTCCAGAGCTGTAGTAGTCACAGGACTGGCCTTTTGGTCATCCTGGAGCAGCTCCTCCAGTCCATGGCAGGCCGGTGCACCCGGTTGGTGGAGTAGCTGCTCCGGGATGAAAGTCTGACCGACTTTCCCACCAATGTCAGCAAGCCACCGTCAGTCAAAATTCATATTAGTGGTCCACGGGATTTAAAATTATGAGTTTGGTGGTCCCTGAGGTCCAAAAGGTTGGAGACTCATGCTCTAAGTGGTTTGCAATGTCAGCATATTGCCCCCAACAATATGGGTCATTTTACTGATTTCAGAAGGATGGTAGACTGAGTCAATCTTGAACCAGTCAGGATCAAACTCCTGACAGTGGAATGTAGTTAGCCTGCAATATTGCATTCTAACCACTGCGTCACAACTCTTTATAATAATTGTTTATATTTTTTTCTATTTTTCTTATCCTAATAATAGTATAGACCTGTATTTATTCATTGTTAAAAACAATCAGCTCAATTGTTAACTGGTTGCTTGTGTTAATATCAAATCTATTAGATCTTACTTTCTCTTCTAGTCTTTGTATCTAAATAAAACAACTTTGTATCCATACATTTTCAACTACGTTATAGTATACAGATAATATTCTTTTCCGCTTCCTAGATTCTATAATTATCCTTGCTCTCTCTTTAAATAAAATTTCAGAGATGCTATTTGATGAGAGGCACAAAAGATATATCTTTGATTCCTAAAGATGATTTTGGCTCAGTCCTACAGGGAAGGTATGGAGGATGGGAACAGGAGGGATTGCTTTGAATGGTGCCTTGAACTCCTATAGCATAATGCTTGTGTCAGAACCACCAAAGCACTTCTGGATTGAAAGGATTATCTGGTGTCATCACTGTTGGGGATGCCCACTTGGAGGCTCTCTTCATGTTCCCAGCAGGAGTTAAAGATTTTACCACACAACAACATTGGTCTCAAATGCAGGCTTGCTAACCTCCTACCCAGAGTCTTAACCACATGAGCCACCATGCTCCATTATCTCTTATATAAAAGGTGGAATCCAACTAATAATGATAAAGTTCCCAAATATTATGTTAAGAGTTCTATGACTGAGATTTTCAACTTTTTTTTATTAACACAACTATATTAGTGTATTTTTATTTGATAGGTAGTTATATCAAAGCACAGTATAAGATCTATTTTACTCTGATAACAATCTGTTGAGGTATGTTGGTCTGTCAGAATAACTGGCTCAAAGCTTGCATAGTGGAGTGAATGGGTAGACTAGAATCTGGGTCTTCCTCCTTTTAATCCAGTATCTTATTGACTGTAGCACAAACAGCTGTGGAACTATTCAAGTCTAAATTGTTTTGCTCAGTTATTTTATCTTCCTTTCTATAGCTGCATCACAATTCTAAAATAGCAGAGTTGGAAGGGACTTTTGAGGTCTTCCAATCTAACCTCCTGCTCAAGCAGGAAAAATCAGTCAAAATCACGATTCTCACAACTGATTTTTCAAGAAGCTTTGTATAATTTGCTCTGATAAAATACATATTTAAACTATAAATCTACTGTACTTCCACTGGAATTTCCCAATTTGGCTATATCATACTCTTTAGAAGTTTAGAAGGTGGCTCCAGGTTATTACAAAAAAAATGCAAAGTGAATTTGTAATTCATCTTTCTGGTATTACTGTGCCTACATTTATTTAATCTGGTTTATTTTTTTAATGATTTGTGTTGTATTTTATTAAGACTAATCCATGCTGGACATTTGTGAATATAACAGTTAAAAATAAATATTTTTTCCATCTCTCCTTGCACTACTATACTTAAAAGCAGTTGAAAACTTAATGAGAACTAGGAGAAAAAAAATAGGCTTTCTCCAAATTCTCACCATGCTATTAGATTTTTAATCTGATGTCTGCTATATTAAATTGAACTGCAATGCTTTTTGTTTAATCTGGTCATATTTTTATTTTTAGCAATTAATGGGATCCCCTATCAGCTGCAAGGCTTGAAGATGTACAAAGATGAGAATGTCCACTGGCATTTGCTGAACATGGGTGGGCCCAAAGATATCCATGTTGTTAAATTTCATGGTCAGACATTCACTGAAGAGGGAATGGAAGATAATCAACTTGGAGTCCTTCCTCTTCTTCCTGGTAAATAAATTCAGATCCACACATGTGTTTCTTGCTGAAATGACTTCAAACATTTCTAAGTAGTTGCATTGAATATAGATATAAAGCATTCATTAAAATATATTAGCCAAACAGGAGATAAGAGTATTATGTATAATGTCTTGAACTGAACAAAATAAATATGGAAAATAAATATAATAACAGTGTGGAATTCACAATGCATTTCAGGTTGTAAACAATCTTAAGGGAAATAGGATATTCTTTAAATATAATAGCATTAATTACATAACACTGTTACTCTTCATTTAAGGTATTCTTTTGAAGTAACATTATACAGCTGCAGTACATTGGAATTTTAATAGCATTAAAATTAACACAAATGTTTGAACTTCTGAAATAGTGAAATGTGCAAAATGACAGCACCTTAACTTTTGTAAGATACATTTTCTTTATGATGTACTTGGCCATCTCTCTATGAAAGTATTATTAAAACTTTAAGCAATGCAATTTGTTCGTTGTAAATTTACAAAGAACTTTGCTTCCAGTAGCTTCCCAGATATGCTAAGACACTCAATTCTCCATCTAGGTAATCTGAGAGAATTATGGCTAGCAATACAAAACTTCTCACATATGTGAAATAATAATCATAAAAGCATTCAGCTATTCCCAGAATACTTGAGCTCTAATAAGGTTTGATGGCTGCCTATGGGACAACATATTCATGTGAATAAGAGGGAGAGAGGCTTATTCTACTTGTTTATGCTGTAAAATAAACCTTTATAAATAGAGAAACTAATAAATTAGGATTTAGGACTGTATAGAGATCAGTGGTGGAATTCAAATTTTTTAATACCGGTTCTGTGGGTGTGGCTTATTTGGTGGGCGTGGGACAATGTATTTTCCAAAGAAGCAGAATGCAAACAGGAAGCAATGGATGGAAACTGAACAGAGAGAAGCAACCTAAAACTAAGGAGAAACTTGCTGACAATGAGAACAATTAACCAGTGGAACTGCCTGTCTCCAGAAGTTCTGGGTGCTCAATCACTGGAAGTTTTTGAGAAAAGACTGGACAGCCATTTCTCTGAAATGGTATAGGGTTCACCCCAAGGTCCCTTCTAAGTATTATTCTGACACCTTTCCCATGATTTCTACTCAGAGTTTGGCATCCTCAGTTTTTTGCCTGAGGTGGGGGTTGGACTAGAAGACCTCCAAGGTACCTTTTCAACTCTTGTTAAACACATGTGTATTTTATGCTCTGGACTATTGACATTGAATGCATGTAAACCCTGACAAATATGTGGTAGCCCTGGGCAAAAGAAAGGCAGAAAAATCACTCTAGGTGTAGGGACAGTGTAAAATATTAACACATGATAAATTATGGAACAATTAAAAATAATAGCACAAAGTTTTATCTCTCTATCTCTCTTCCTTTTTCTTTCTTTCTCTCTCTCTCTCTCTCTCTCTCTCTCTCTCTCTCTCTCTCTCTCTCTCTCTCTCTCACACACACACACACACACACACACACACACACACACAGAGAGAGCACTTAACAGACAAGCATTTTGGAAGCAGCTCCTTTAAATTTTTCCAAGGCTGGAGTGGATTCCCCCACCCCATCAGATTGTACTCCTTCTCACTCCAGACACTTTAAACTCACACGGGGAAATCTATACTTTCAGCGTCCATGGGGAATCCTTGGAGAAGTTTTTAAAGGACCTGCTGCTTCCAAAATGCATTTCTTTTATGTTGCAAAAGTGCTCCAAAGCTCGATTCACCCCCACCCCCTCTGTCAGACCACACTCTTTCTCATTCCAGACACTTTAACTCACAAGGGGAAAGCGATACTTGCAGCATCCATGCCTTTCTTCCTTTCCCCTGGGGAGAAAGAGGACGTGGGGAACGGAAAGCTAGCAAAGCGATCGCAAGTGAGCGACCAGGCGACCGGGTTGGGAGCGTGGCCAGCCAGGGGTCACCACCAGTTCGGCGACCCATGGCAAATAACTGCTACCAGTTCACCCAAGAAGGTGCGAACCAGTTGAATACCACCTCTGATAGAGATCCAGTTTTCATTCTTACAAGATCTCCTGTCCAATGTTGGAAGACTGAAAATATTTAAGGGACAAGTGCTGTAGAACCCTTATTGTAACATATAGGGCATATCTTCCTGGACGGACGTTCCCCAAATTCCACTTGTATCAACCAACAATTTGTTCCATTAACTTTAAGTATACTTATAAACCTGAATTTTCTGTCTAATCTCTGGTTAAGTTGAACATGCTGTCCTATTCACCATATTACTATATGATTCAAATTCTTGGAATTTTAACCTTTTTAAAAAATGAGCATGTCTCCTCTCTGCTTTCAAGGTACATTCACCTCCATCAAAATGAAACCATCCAAAATTGGCACATGGCTTTTAGAAACAGAAGTTGGTGAAAATCGGGAAAGAGGAATGCAGGCTCTCTTTACTGTCATTGACAAAGGTAACAGAGTTTAACCATACTAATTTTACAAGGCACATCAGCTTCATTACAAATTTGTGCTACAAAAAAAAAAAAAAAAGGGTGGGGGCCTATTCTGAGATCCCAAGTTTGCATTTATTTATTTGTTTGTTTATTTATTTATTATGAATAGCATGTAGATGACATCACTGGCACATTCCCCAGTTAGCAGGCATTACAAATATTTTGAAGATTGGGGGAAGGTACATATCCCATTTTAATATCATTACTATATAATCTGCTTGTGTCTTTGCCTCTTCCTAGCTGGGCATATTAAGCTAGGTACAACAGAATAGAATAGGATAGGATAGGATAGGATAGAATTCTTTATTGGCCATGTGTGATTGGATACACAAGGAATTTGTCTTGGTGCAAATGCTCTCAGTATACATAAAAGAAAAGATACATTCATCAAGAGTCAAGAATCATAAGGTACAACACTTAATAATAGTCATAGAGTACAATAAGCAAGACTAGAAAACAGTCAGTATAGAAATCATAACTTTCTCTCCTGTTGGGTTTAATAGGAGTACTCTGCTTAATGACAGAATTTAGGAAAAGTTAATAAAACACTTCGATGCCGCCTCTTTCTCCCTCTGCAGATTGTAAATTACCAATGGGACTGGCAAGTGGGATAATACAAGACTCACAGATCAGTGCTTCAGGTCATGTTGGTAGGTTGAATTTTAAAGCTGCTGTGACAAAAATCTTGTTATTCGGAAATTCTATATCCAGAAGTTCATCTACTGAATTGTGTGGCTCTAATGAACACCAAATTCTATAGATTATTATTAAATTACACCTGGGGCATATTTTCATTTTATTTGTATGGTACAAGAAATAATTGTCTCATAATATCAAGAGGAAGGGGAAAGAACATTAATTAGTAGTATATACTGGGCCCCTAGCATGCAGTATTCAAACTATTTTTGGAACATTTTCAGATTTTTTTTGTTTTTACTTCTTGGTTCCAGTTCTTTTATAACAGATACTTGATAATCGATAATTTCCAATATTTGACTTTGGGCCAGTCATCCTCTCTCAGCCCAACCCACCTCACAGGGTGGTTCCGCAGGGGAAAATAGAAGAAGGAACCATTGTTAGGTACATTGGCTGCCTAAAGTTATGTGTAAAAATTATAAAAGTGGGATACAAATAAATATAAATTAAAAACTACAAATATTTCATGTTATGAAAATAATATATTTTACAATTGTTTTAGTAAAAAACAAAAGTCACCATGGAAAGCAACCATAACTTGTTGACATTGTTCTGCAAAATGTATTTTCCATATTTCTGTACAGGATATTGGGAGCCTAAGCTAGCAAGACTGAATAATCCTGGAAAATATAATGCTTGGAGCATCATAAAGAAGGAACATGAACATCCATGGATCCAGGTATGAATTAAGATGCATAAGGGAGGAAACCCCAAGAAAAATGACTTAAGCTTGTTGCATTCATCAGCTGAGGAGCCTTAGGCTTCTCTCAGCATTAGAAATGGAAGCACAAGAGAGCAGGCATTCAAGAACAGTAATCTTGGACAAGATTAGTAAAAAATGAATGAAGCTAATTACAGAATTCTGGACACTGCTATGTATCAAATATAAGCCCAAATTATAGTGAAATCAATATTTGTACTCTTGCCTCTTTACTTCCACCTATGTAATGGGCTTGAATTTTCTCTTTTCTGGACAGGAGGAATAGCTTCCACCTGTTTCTAATGTTAACTGTCATGATCATTAATTTTTGCCCTTTTGCTCTTAACTATATCAGAACCAACTTTCACAGGAACACATGTAAAAAATGTTTTGGTTTAGAAATAAGAAGGCATATGGCCTCCATCTTCCTTACTGGCTAATATCAAATCAAAGATAGTTCTGTCTATCAAATCAAATTGTAGATATTTCAAAAATATCTACAGTTTGTTTTTTGAAAAGGATCATTTATAACTTCTTCATTGGGCTCCTGATATTAAGCACTAACAACAGCCTTAATTTCTTGTTCCTTCACTCATTTTGATCCAGAGGCTCTCAAAAGCATTGCCAAGATCACTCGGATTTTTAAACTGATAACGGATATTTTGAACATACAGTGCAATTTCGTCCCACTTTTTATTTCTTCTGGAGTTTCTTTTTTTAATGAAAAAAAAAAGCTATGAGAGGAATAGGAACTGCTCACTCTGTAGACAAAGGTCATGTAAATTTAATCAGGTAATACAAGCATATAACCTTATAAATGCTAGAAAAATGCAGGTATCTGAAATTGTGACAGAATTCCTGCCTGGAAGGGAGTAAATAGTATTTTATTTATTTAATATATTTGAAAACATTTTTTGTGTAATAACCCAAAATTTGTACAAATAGCAAAACTGAAAAATTTCAAATACACAAATTAAGAACATATAAATTAAAAAATGGGTACAAGGAAGGAGAAAACTAATTTCCATCCATCACATTTATAAGGGTAGAAAAGACAAGCATTTAAAAGACATAACCTTATCTTAGAGTTGAAAATTTAACTTCTTGCTTAATGATTAGTGACCTTTCTGAGTCACAATGACACTGCAAAAGTAATTTTACAACTACTCCTTGTATTGCTGACCACTGGTGTCCCCATTGTCACGACTGACATTCAGGTGCTTCTTAACTAGTGGGATTTCTTTGTGTCTGTTTTCCTGCAATTACGTGAATGCCTTTTGTGCACTTCACAACTGGCTTCTGACTAATAGAGAAGCTGGCAATAAAATTGCAAGTTGTGGTCACATGATGTTTCTCTAATGACCAAAATAAAATGATATCATATGGTCATTGCAATTATACGATGTTTTGCTTAGCAACCATGATGCTTAGTGATGGAATTTTAGATCTAATTGTGGTTACTAAGCGAGAACTATAAGCAAGTGCCTCCACATGGTGAATGTAGATAATTTAGGAATATAAATTATAAACAGAGTGATATCACTGCTCAAAAGATCAAGTCCTATTTCTGAGTTTTAAATGATTGCAAAAAGAGAAAGGCAAAACACCAAATACATACAGTATATTATGTATACAGTATACTGATTCAAATTTGGGCTGTAAGGTGTAACCTCTCAGTGTTTAAAGAGATGATTAGAACCTATATTTAACTCTTTTCTTACTATAAAAGTGACACATTCCTCTAATTTTAATCTGATTTTTAGTGTTGTTAAATTTTTAAATGCAATTTTAATATGATTTTAGAGGCACTAAATTTAAGTAAGGAATTTAATTCTAGGGAAATAAATTTTTATCTTATTCCCCCAGGCATGGAATTAAGAAGCCAAGCTAAAAGCAAGTAAATGCTTTTTTGTGTATAGAAACAAGAAACCATTTTTGAAATGGCTGATCTCTGTTTCGTTCTGTACACGATCCTCCTTCTACAATAAATCTATTGTCACCGATACAACAGTTTATTGCAACATCACAATGTGATTTGGTTGTGGAAATCATCTTGGAATGTATTGCTATTCTTGAGTTATTAAGAATATTAACATTTTAATATTAACATGTTGCTTTTGTCACCTTAAATTAGGGGAGATTGTGAATTAAATGTACAGGATAAGAAATATTTGAAAATTGATTTCCCGCTTGGGAGAGCGGATGAATTAGAAAGCAAAATCTTGATATGCACTTAATTTAATTACATTCATCTCTACAGCTCTGACCATAATCAGTCATTTACTTATTTAGTGTATTGGTTTAGTCTTCCTTATTAGCTCTGCAAACATTTATCAAAGCTGTACAATAATATGAGTGTTATATTTTAATTTGCATAAATAATGAATCATTGATTATTTTGATTTTCTTTGTGAAAGGAAACATGACTGCCACAAAGATATTCAGATTCTGCATATTATTTCATATATACAATCAATTTTATATGTGGTTCCTACATTGTGTTATGCTATAGTTTGTAGGTTCACACATTCTATATGTAATTGTGAAATTACAAAGGTTTAGCAATTAAAAGAATATAAAATTTGACATACCATGGCTTAGTGTCATACATGAATCCAGTTTTCACATCACTGTATTTCAGATCAAGAGCATTCTGGTTGGCTCTGCTTTTAATTTGAGAATACCAGTAGTCTTAGACAAGAGGGTGAAGACTAGCGTAAAACATACCATTTGTCTTGTATGCCATATATTGGCTTACATTAGAATGTTCTTCTACCATCAAAGATTTCAACCTTCAGTATGTTTTGTGTTTGTAAATTGATAGAGAAGGTGCAAACCTTCTTGTCATTTATCTGAGACAGAGTTCTTGAACCAATCCTGTATTTCCATCCAGTATGGTACAGAATATCTTTTAACCGAAGAAATGAAACTGGGATAATATCGATTCATAATTTTTCTTGTTATTGTATAGATAGACCTACAAAGACAAGTTGTCATCACAGGCATTCAGACCCAAGGAGCCATGCAACTACTGAAACATTTGTATACTGTGGAATATTTTGTTACCTACAGCAAAGATGGGCAAAACTGGATTACTTTTAAAGGAAGACATTCCGAAACACAAATGGTTTGCATGTTTCCTCTATCTGAAATCCTCATTCTTTTTTTCTGCTTGAAAATATGTATAAGTAATGTTAAGAGTTTTTATCCTTGAAAAAGCTAACATATGAAAGAGAATAGTATGAAAATTATATATTCTCTATACATCTCTTAAATTGATAAAAATCTTATATTTGTTGTCTTGTCCTTTTTCATTTTGTTTTCTTTTTGCAGAAGTAGGTTTCTAAATCCAGATTAATTTTTAATGAGAAATAGAGGTGCAAAAACTGGAAAATATTTAATTAGTGGGTAGGAAAGAATGTAAATTATAGGCAGTTAATTTCTTCTCTTCCTTCTTTTAACTTGTAAATAATTAAAAAAAATATTGAAAGGAGAATTGTAGCTGGGAACAACATGTATGATTTAAGGTACTTTAATACCAATGTATTTATTGACAAATGTATAAAGAATGCTTGCGATGACATTAGAGGTATGTTGAATGTGGATAAGAATACCTGTGTACATTTGTTTACAGATGATGTATCATTGCTGTTTTAAACACCAAATTATTTGTGATGAACATTAGACAGATTATATGATACAATGAGGAATCTGAATCTGAATATATGTATGTGTGTGGGTGTGCCTGCATATAAATATATTATAAACAAGCACCAAGAGAATAAAGCAAGTAAATGTAGCAGAACTCTTGCAATATGAAAGAAACTTTCTGATCCTCAGTTCCCACTGAAATAATTCAGTGATTGTTTTGATATGCAACCTCACTGAAAACCAATAATTGCTCAATACTGAATAGGCTTAAAAGTCACTTTAATTTTCCAGATGCAAATATTTTTAATAAGATATATTTTTTAAAAATGAGACATAATTTACAGAATTTGGCCTTTTTTTTCCTCAGCATTTTGAGGGTAATTCAGATGGTTCCACAGTAAAAGAAAACCACATTGATCCTCCTATTATTGCCAGATATATTAGGCTGCATCCAACCAAGTTCCACAACAGACCTACTTTCCGCATTGAACTGTTAGGTTGTGAAGTTGAAGGTAAGACATGAACAGACGTTTGACACATGCATCAATTCCATTTAATGTTATCAAAAACATTGAAAGTGCAAAGAGAAACAATTTTATACAAGCGCTAAATATTGGGGGGGGGGGGGGGGAGAGATTAAATCACTTGACCAAACCATCTGTAGAAATATAATTCCAAACCTTCTGGTATCTTTCCCTGAATATGATAGGATTAGAAAAATCTAACAAGGATATGTACTTACAACAGGTTGCTCAGTGCCATTGGGAATGGAAAGTGGGGCTATCAAGAATTCAGAGATTACAGCCTCTTCTTATAAGAAGACTTGGTGGAGTTCATGGGAACCATCCCTTGCACGACTCAATCTGAAAGGACGAACAAATGCTTGGCAACCAAAGGTAAAAACAAAACAAACTAAGTTACCTGATTATTTTTGTGATTGAATTCTTTTAAATTGTTAGGTTTCCATTAAATTAAATGCTTAAGGTAGTTCCCATCTAATAAGCGGTGGCATCAATCAATCAAAGAGAAGTGAGAGCAGAGGACATGGCTGATATGATTAGTATATTTTGAATTATGTTGAATTGTTACTTACACAGTGGCTAATATTTCTTCCCACACTTTTATTTCTCCCTAGTAAAGTCATTTCACCAATTATGTGGCAGCAGTTTCAGAGTTGTATGTCAGTTAATACTGTCTCTCTGATTGGTATTCTTGTATGATATAGGAGTCTTTAAATGATTGCTTATTGTATTCATGAAATCATGGAATCATAAGGCTGGAAGGGACCTTCTAGGTCTTCTGTCCAGGGCAGAAGTCCTTATTCTATCCCAAATAGTTGTCCAATCTTTTCTTGAAAACCTCCAGAGATGAAGCACCCGCAACTCTGAGAGATGTTTTGTTCCACTGATAATTGTTCAGATTAGAATAAAGTTATATTGCAAGAATTAATACAAGAAGCATCCTTGAAGAAATTTGTGCTCTGAGCACTAAATGTGTTCTATTTTTATAAGACAGAAAAGTAAAACAGAGGGAGGAGAGAGTCCATTAATTCTACAGTAGTTAAGGTCTATATCAGTGGTTCCCAAATTTTTCAGTCCACCACCCCCTTTGTGCTAAAAATTCATCCTCGGTGCCCCCCACCTGGGGTGGGATTTAAATTTCTGTGGGCATGGCCTAATTTGAGGGTGTGGCTTGCTGGTCACATGACTGGGTGGGTGTGGCTTTCTGGTCACATGACCGGATAGGTGTGGTTTGGTGGGCATGTGACTGGGTGGGCATGGCCAGGTGACTGGCAAACCAAATACAAGTGGTCCTCACTTAATGGCCAGTTGTTTAGCAAGTGTTCTAATTTATGACTGGCCTCCCCAGAGCTACTTGATCTGTTTCTGTTTTGACAGCCATGCACACACATACACACACACACTCCCTTCCAACCCTGCTGGAGAAGGTCATTGGACTAGAATTGGCAAAGCATCTCTGATTAGATTCTAGTAGTGAATAAAATCTAATCAGAGATGCTTTGCTAATTCTTGTTGATTTGTTTTATTTTTATTTTTATTTTATGTTGCTGAATTGCATTGACATGTGTGTCCCTTCTTGTGCACAACCCAGAAGCTTTTGTGATTCTTTGCAGCAAAAATTACCGACCTCTGGCTTTCCTCTACTTTTCAAACGTGCCACCACTGCCGTGTTTTAGGTGCCAGCCCCGCAGGTCCACCCCATTGAGCCCGCTGCACTGGAGGGACTTGCCCAAACAAGTCCGAGCGAAGCAGTGCACCAAGTCTATGGGGTGAGCCTGAGAGAGGGAAAGAGAGAGAGAAAAGAAAGAGAGAGAGAAAGAGAGAAGGAAGAAAAGAACGAGAAAAGGGAAAGAAAGAAAAAGGGACAGATGAAGAAAGAGGGGGGGATGGAAGGAAGGGACAGAAAGAAAAAGAAATAAAGAAGGAGGGAGGGAGGGAGGAGAAAGATAATGAGATATCTATTCTAGTCCAATCACCTGCTCCAGCAGGATTAGAGGGA